GTGCCATAGTTTAATTGGTCTCGCTTTTTCTTTTTGTAGTGTATAAAATAATAGGGCTTATTAAATTCAATAGCATGTCTGAATTGATGAAATATCGTCTACTTGCTTAATAGATTTTTCTGGCTGCAACTAGCCAAATAAGTCTGATTAAGATGGGAAAACTTACTATTTGTATTTGGTCAGGAACACTTAATGGACCAATATATTTCACTTTATTACTTAGCTATGCTCAGTGAGATAATTTGCCGTGAATTACCATAATGGTCAACAGCAGAGCAGAATAGGAAATTGAAGTAATCCAGGGACAACCTAAAATTTATTGTATCCCCACACAGCAAAATGTAACATTACCTTCTCACCCTTCCCCATCATTCTTGCACCCAGCAAATCAGATGGTAGAAATACTACAAGGAATATTAGGAAAGAGCAAACAAATAAAAAGGAACAATAAACATCTGAGTCTAGATCAGAATTATCAATGGTAAATCCATACCCTATTACTCAAGAGCTTAATACTAAGTCTTCTTCATAGTCCTCCATTAATATAACTCTGCTGGGAAGTAAAGCCACTTCCTATTTGTTTCTTTTTCAGAAGTCACTGGAAAGGACATCGTTATGATCTCCCATAGATCTGTCTTTGAAATCAGAGAGGTATAATATTGTAATGACCTCCTTTGGTCTGTCTCTGAAATCGGAGAAGTACTTAATGGAGAAAGCAATAAGGGGAATATTTTGAATCCCTGTGCATCCATACCACCATTATGACCAGTTTTGACAGCAGAGAAAAGGGCACATAGGGAGGCGTCTAAGTCTGAGATCCAATTAGCCCCTTCCTTTTCCAAATCCCAATACAAATCATTTGTTGTGGGGTGCCATGGAGTCGGTTCCGACCCATAGCAACCTTATTATGTACAGCACAGGGAAGCATGGCCCATTCTGTGCCATCCTCACAATTGTTCTGTTTGAGCCCACTGTTGCAGCCACTGTGTCAATCCATCTTGTGAAGAGTCTTCCTCTTTGTCCTGCCCGACTTTACCAAACATGCTGTCCTTTTCCAGGGCCTGGTCTCTCCTAAGAACATGTCCAAAATACATGGGACAACGTCTCACCATCTTGACTTCCAAGGAGCATTCTGACTATACCTCTTCCAAGACAGGATTGTTTGTTCTTTTGGCGTCCACAGTACTTTCAACATTCACCAGCACCATAATTCAAATGCACCCAATTCTTTTTGTCTTCCTTTTTAATCTCCAACTTTCACAGGCACGAGGTAAATGAAAATAATATGGCGTGGTTCCGGCATATCTTAGTCCTAAAAGTAGCAATCTTGCTTTTCAACATTTTAAAGAGGTCTTGTGTCGCACTTTTTCCCAATGCAATTCCATCATTTCATATCCTGACTGCTGCCTCCATGAACATTTGATTGTGGATATAAACAAGACCAAAACCTGGACAATTTAATCTTTCTTCCATTTATCATGATGTGACCTATTCGTCCAGTTGAGGATTTTGGTCTTCTTTGCATTGAGGTGCAATCCATACTGAAAGCTGTAATCCTTGGATCTTCATCAGCACTTGATTCAAGTCCTCCCACGTTCAGCAAGGCTGTGTTATCGGCATATCACACGTTGTTAATAAGCCTGCCTCTGAACCTGATGCTGCATTCTTCTTCATATAACCCAGCTTCTCTGATTATTGGCTCAGTGGGGTCACATGTGAGGCTGTTAACCACAATGTCAGCAATTCAAATCTACCATCTACCAGGCACTCTGCAGGAGAAAGATGTGGCTCTCTACTCCCATAAAGTTCGTCTCGGAAAAGCCATAGGGGCATTTCCACCCTGTCCAATAGGTTTTTATTTGATACAGATTGAATGGGTACGATGAGAGAATACATCCCTGACACACACCGTTCTTCATTTTAAACCATGCAGTGTTCCTTCGTTCTGCTCACACAACTGCCTCTTGAACTATGTACAGGTTTCACAAGAGCTTAATGAGGAGTCCTGGAATTTTCATTCTTCTCGGAGCTATCCACTTAGTTATGGTCCACATAGTCGAATGCCCTGGCACAGTCAATGAAACACAAGTCAACATCTTTCTGGTATTCTCTGCTTTCAGTCAAGATCCATCTGATGTCAGAAATGATAGCCCTTGTTCCACATCCTCTTGAATGTAGCCAGAACCTCTGTCCGTCAATGCACTGCTACAACCACTGATCTTCAGCAAAATTCTACTTGTATGTGATATTAATGATAATGTTCCATGATTTTGAGGATTCTGTAGGGTCACCTTTCTTAGGAATGAGTACAAGTGTGGATCTCTTCCAGTCAGTTGGCTAAGTACCCGTGTTCCAAATTTCTTGGCACAGAGTGCTTCTAGTGATCCATCAGCTTGGTGTAAACATTTCCACTGGTATTCCATCAATTCTTGGAGCCTTGTTTTTGGCTCATGCCTCCAGTGCAGCTTGGATATCTTCCTTCCTTTAGTAACATCTGTTCTTAATCACATGCCACTTCAAATGGCTGAATTTAAAGGTCTTTTTAGTTCAGTGCTTCTGTGTATTCTTCATTTTTTTATGCTTCCTACATCGTTTAACACTTTGCTCACAGAATCTTTTAATATTGTGATTTGAGGCTTGAATTTTTTCCTTTGGCTCTTTCAATTTCAGATGTGCTGAGCGGTTCTTCCTTTGTAGTCGTCTGACTCTAGGCCTTTGCACATTATAATATTTACTTTGTCTTCTCAAGCTGTTCTTTGAAATTTTCTGTTCAGCTCTTTGACTTTATCCTTTCTTCAACTTGCCTTAGCTACTTTATGCTTAAAAGCAAGTTTCAGAGTCTCGTTGGATGTTCACTTTGATCTTTTCTTTCTTCCCGGTCTTCTAAATGACATTTTGCTTCTTCATGAATGATGTTCTTAATGTGCTCCACAGCTATCAGATCTTCTGGCATTAGTGTTCAATGCGTCAAACCTGTCCTTAAAATTCAGATGGGTCAGACTCAGGACAGGATTTTGGCTCTTCTCAAAGACTTGCTTTCATTTTCTCCAGCTTCAACCTGAACCGAGCAACCCATGGTCTGTTCCACAATCAACGCCGGCCTCGCTTTATCTGCAGGTGTAGGCATTCTGATTTCTGTATGTTCCATCCGGAGAAGTCCATGTGTACAGTGACCCTTTGCGTTGTTGAGAAAAGGTATTTGCTATGAACAAGTCATTGGTCTTGAAAAATTCTACCATTCAATCTCCAGCTTTGTTTCTATCGCCAACACCATAGTAGTTCACTATTGTCCCTTCTTCTTTGTGCCCAACTTTTCCATGCTAATTGCCAATAATTATCAATGCCTCTTGGTTGCATGTTTAACCAATTACAGACTGAAGAAGTTGGTAAAATTCTTCAATTTCTGTTATCACTAGCTTTAGTGGTTGGTGCATAAAGCACTAGCAAACACCAACATCTCTCAACAATTAGGAAAAGCATGGTAGGTAGCACTCTTTAACACAAGGGAGCACATCATGTGAAGTGGCAGCCTGTGCAAAACAGTGTTTACTAGACAACCATACCTCAGAGGTAACTTCTACATCGGTATCGTCACTTAAGGACTTAGAGTCCTCAAAATCGTCACTCTTTTCCACTCCAATAACCTGGAAAGGCAAAAACATCCTATTAATAAGGTTTACCAGTTTTAGATGAGGTGGTTACGCAACAACAAAAGACAGGACAGATCCATGAAAAACTCACATTGTATCACTAGCGCTTAAAAGGAGATGGCTTAAATTTGAGGTTGAAAGCATGATTCAAATAACATCCTGTTGGAGCCCTTCAGCAAGATAAACCATCAGCAAGGACCTGGACCAGTTTCCAAATACCTTCTGCATTCAGATAGGGCCCAAGGTTTTCACGAAAATAAAACCCTCAGAGTGAAAAAGCCACCATGTGGGCATTTTTATCTTGGCTCCAGGCAGACATCACAAGGATAAATGATGCATACATAGGTTGAGAAAACGAGAGGGGAAGAGCTCTGTGTAAAATGCATGCCAGATGTGAAGAACGGAACAAATCCCTGCAACATTCACTTTCAAGAGTAAAACCAGCCATGTCCTGCTCTGGCCACCCTATGAAAACACGCTCAAGGTCAAGAAACAAAAAGCCACGAAATGTATGTGAGCTGTATCCCCACAAAAGTAGGCCTGCTTTTTGGCATTTTCACTCTCTTCTAATGCCCCCCACCTACCTAGTCCAAAAGCCTATTGTTGTCAGAGTAGAGCTGTCTGACAGGCGGCCGGGCGGCCACATCTTGCACCCACAAAGGAGTGAGTGGGTTCAAATCACTGGCCTTTTGGTCTGTGGCTTGGCACTTAACCACAGTGTCCCAAGAGATCCCACAGGAACCCACATGACTAGGAAGAGGCCATAAGTGAATAAAGAAAAAGGATGGCAGAGCTTAGGTGCGTTTTTTGCTATAGTTATTCAATGAATGCTTACTGAGAATCTTCTACGTGCCAGGCATTGGCTTTACTGCTGAGTTTCTGTTGAGACCAAGCACACGTCTGCATGATTCTTCTTGGCATACTCACACCACATGCACTCACGGGCTGTAACACCACCCCCACCACCCCCATTTTAACACTAACAGATGTAAGAAGTAATCATTTACCTTTTCCTTCAGGTATAAAACTATCATGGAATCAACAGAGAATTCTAAATAGGATGTCTTCCTACAGGCAGTTTAAGCCACTTTAGACCTTGGTCTCTTGGTAGAGAGCAAGGTTTCCGGAAGGAAAAAAGTCCCAGTGAGACTCCCAGTCGTTGTTAGCAGCCCCCACCTCATGGTGATTTCACACACAAAGGAACAGGACACGGCCTGGTCCTATGCCATGCCCAGGATGGACTGGACTGTTCTGACCCACAGGGCTTGTCCTCACGAAGTGGCAGTAGGTTTCCAGGCCTTTTCTCCAGTCCATTGGTCTATAAGCTCTGAAACCTGTCCAACATCCTAGCAACAAGCAAGCTTCCATGGACAGACGGGGGCAGGGCAAAAGGTACAATGGCTGGGAATCAAACTAGGGTCTCCACACAGAAAGCAAGAATGATAACACTGCCCCTCTGATGCCTCCTCACAGTCAGCCTAGAGAAGCGGGCAAAACTACAAAACTACACCCACGAAACCAAACCCTCTCCTGTTTTTGAGGCAGCCTTGATGAACTTAAAAATAAAATTGAATATAAGAAAATATTTAAAAATAAAAGGGCTTTTGATAGTAATTTTCTGTACAGAGGTAGAGATCAGGCCACTAAACCTGTGTAAGTTATACAGTGTACACATGAATACAATCAAGATTGACATTTTTCCACAACATACCTTTTTTTCATTCCCTTTCCCTAGTTCTTCACTTGTGTGTTCAGTACCAGCAGCTTCAGCTTTTATTCCATCACCTAACTGCTCTGATACTGAATCATTCAGTAACCACAAGTCATCTGTAGTGTCTGAAACAAGGGCAGTACCTATATCCTAGTGGAAAAAAACAGACGTAAGTTTTCACATTTTGAGGCTTATCAGAGATGTTGAATCAACATCGATGGACTCAGGGCCTTCACACTGTATCTCCCAAGGACACGTTCCCCCACAGAACAGCTCTTCACTCCACAGCCTGGCACCTACTATGTCTCAGCTAATGGATCAATATAAGAATGCTTCACATGGGCCACTACTCTATTCTCACCACCAATCAGGGTTACCACCCAGTAAACAGTCCTGAAGGGCTTCACAGATAATAACTCAGAGTTGCTCGGCTAAATAAAATTCATTCTCTATGTCCCTTTCCAGAGGCGACTCAAGAAGCTACAAAGCAGTCCCTTAATTAACTGAGTGCCACGTTCCTTCTCTGGTGGTCAATGGTGCTTACTTACTAAAGAAACAAGAGAAATGCTTATGGTAACAAAAACTCTCTGCCTCATCACTGTCTCAACTCTTAAGCAACTTTAAATATATAGAACTTACTTACTTTCTGCATTCCTCTGGACTTTTTTTTTTCTTAATGCTTGAAATGAACTTGTCACTGAAGGCTCCAAGTCCATTTAAGGTTTACTTTTCCCCGTGATATGACTGAACTATTGAATTATGATATACAAATTACTTGCCAATAAAACGGTTGGAAAAAAGTTTTAACTTTTCCCACTTTTTTTGTTTAAGTCACTCAGACCAATTATGAAGGTCTGTGGGACAAAAAATCTGGAGGGATATTTTTTTGTTGTTGTTTTTAAAGATGCACACTAAAAGTATAATTAAATAGCCCCTATCAATAATATCCCCTTTAAACCCTCCATAAATATTATTCTTTTTCCCCCTACGCAGCGACCCTCCCTCTCTCCTCAATCTCCTATCCCTCCCTCTTACTGCTTCCACCACGTCTTTGGCCTCCATGCAGTCATCAGTCATCTTTTTACGTGTGAACCACGTTTCCTTTTGCTTTTCCTTATGATGACGGTGCTAACTATTGATCTTTGTAAGACTGACCGCTTACTAAATGTTTTCTGGTTTGCGGTGTTTAAGAGAGTTGTCATTATTTTGTTTTGAATGCCTAATATTTCACTGTCTGAATGTACCAGAGTTTATCTATTCCTCTGTAACTAGGGCTTGTGGTTGTCTCCATGTTTGTGCATGACAGGAAATGGTGCAATAAACATAGTGTGCATGTATTTATTAGTGTTGTACTCACCATTTCTTTAGGGTGGATATCGAGCAGGGAGTCTGCTGGATCATAAGGTACTTGGATTTGCCATATGGTTTCATAGTGCTTGTGCAATCCCACTGCCCCACAAGCAAGGTTTGAGCGTTCCACTCTCTCCGCAGCCTCGCCAACATTTATCGTTTTGTTTATTGAATTTTGCTAAGTGTCGGTGTGATGTGCTATCTCCTTGTTTTTGATTTGTACTGCTCTTATTGCTAATGAATGTGAACATTTCTTCATATGGTGTTAGCTCCCTAGATGGAGCTCTTTGGAAAATTGTGTATTCATGTCTTGTGCCCATTTTTTCATTGGGTTGTTTGTATTTTTCCTGTTAAGATGCTGTAGTTTTCTACAGAATTTGGACATTAGCACTTTACCTTTGTAATGTATTATTACTGAGTATTTTTTCCCAATATGTGAGTTTTCCGTTGACTCTTTCAATGAAGTCTTTTTTTTAATGTGGCTAGACATCTCTTGACATACATAAAGAAGTACACAAAAAGCTCATGAAAAAATGGAGTTAAAACTTTTAACTTTTGAAGCCCATTTGTAATTCTTTAACTTTCTAAGACAATTTATTATTTTACTATTATTCTATTTTCATTCATTTATCAAACCAATACTCACTGAATAACTATTATATGCCAGCTACTGATTTACGCTGAGCCATAAGATCCCAAACTTATGTGGCATACCACCCCCTTTTTAGAAAAAAAAAATTAGCGACACCGTGGCAGTTATAAATTATTGTACCAGACCCCATAACCCAGGGTAATGTGTAAGGCAATCTGCTTTTGCAGCCGCAGAGGCGGTACTGGCCACTTTGGTAAACACTGAGTTAGGCAGTGAAAACAGAGTAGGGAATAACTGAGAGACCCCAATACACAAATACTACTTTCACCAAGTGAGACGTGCAGTGGAGAACAATTCAAAGAGCAGAGGAGCCAGAGGAAATCTTTTTGAACCAGGACTTTTTTAGGACCACCACTTACCCGTGCACACCTTCCAAATAATGAGCGAGAGGATCTTCCTGGATCAGCGCAACATGACAGTCTTGCTGGCCAGGGATAACCTCTCTGAGAAACTGCACTTGAGCGAAGTTTCACATGATGAGGAAGTAATACAAGGACTGAGGAAGAGTGTTAGAGAGAGGAAAAAGGAGCTATACAACATCTGAGGACGAAAGACATTGTGGACTATGGAGTCAGTATGAGGCCTGTCTGTCTGGAATGCACATAGTAAGAGTGGTCGGTGGGTCAGACCACTAGCAGCTAGGGGAAGGAGTCTAATTTGTCCTCTGCTTGATATATAACGCCATTAGAGAATCTGTTACATGACAGTGATGTGATCTCACTTTGCCTTTCAAAACGAGCTTCTAGAATTTACTTTTAGAAAACTGAGCTATTTGATAGACAAAGAGCAGTTGCGAGGCTGCCGATGATACATGAAGATGGCTTGAATCAGGGTTACAGGGGGTGGAAGTACTAAAAACAGGTCAGTTAGATTTAGGTTATGTTTTTATATAAAGAACATACAATAACCTGGATATGCTATGTGATAGAGAAAGAAATCAATGTTATTTCTATGATATGTAGCCAGAATACCTGGGTAGATAACAGGGACTGTTGATAAAAAAGGAAAAGTTGGAGCAGGGATAGTTGGTGATTTTTCAAAGAAACACAAGGATTTCTACTTTGAACATGATAAGCACGCAGTCATCTCAGGGGAGATCTTGAGTCGACAGCCCTATCTGGAAACTGGGCATTCTGGTGGCACAGGCAGGCCGAAGAGACAGCTGGGCGTCATAAGCACATCAACGGTATTGAGAGCCAAAGCACTGAGCAAGAATTCTTACACAGAATGCAAGGTCAAGAGTCACAGAAAATGCTACTCTTTCCGAAGAAAAACAATTTCGTTCACCTTCGAATGTGAGATTTACCTGATTTGTCTGTAAATCAGTTGAGCCATTACTTCTAGGTGTATAGTTGTTTCTCACGTTTCCTAAAAACCACCAGGGCAGGCCAGCTACATCCCACTCCTCAAACCCGAGGTCCAGCACAGAGCTCTCAGCTGGGGTTAAATTTTCTATCAAGTCTTCATCTACAGAAGTCAAATGAAAAGGACGGGCACACAACAAACACTTAAGAACCAATCAAGTTTCTCCTTAAGATATTTATAGACTTCTTTATCAGATAAAAAGAAATTCCTGTCCCTAGGAAGAGGCAGAAATGAAGTATCAGTCTCCGTGGCAGAGGCCAGGTCTCTTCCGCAGCTCAGGCTTCATCAGCACGCTTCAACACTAGAAAAAGATGATCATTCACCACGCAATCTGAATTCTGACAGCAGCACAGCAATCCCCGAGTTCACAAAGGGTGTTTAAATGGTCGTTTACTGGTTGAGTTAATTTATTGTGCCAACCTGGCCGATAATCACATGTGGG